GTCCACCAACTAAAATTTTCATTTGAACCGTCCTTCCACTTCTTTTTTTTGTATCAAGATGGTCCTATCATTAAAGTCCGTCAATTTTATTGTTATTTATTTTTGTATTTATCTTATTTTAAAATTTTTAATAATTTAAAAATAGAGAAAAAAATATTACTTTTTAAGTCAAAAAAAAAAAAAAAAAAAAGATTAAATTTTTTCAATTTTAAAATTAGGTACAAGTTCCTATAATAGTTTCCTTTAATTTTTAATTATTGTTTACTCTTTTAAAAAATTTGTTTTTTTTATATTTATGTGATTTTAATTAATTGAAACAATAGAGAATTTTTTATATTATTAATTGTTAGGTCACGAACAAAAAAAAAAAAAAAAAAAAAAAAACAAGTGGCTAGTGAGATTCAATTTTTTTTTAAATTTTCTAAGTTTTATAATAGTTTCCTTTAATTTTTAATTATATATTACTATTTAATTCATAGAGACATTTTTACTCTCAATTTAACAATAAAAATTGACAAACTTTAACAGTAGGACCATCTTAATAAAAAAAAAAAAAAAAGAAAAGAAGTTGAAGGACGGTTCAAATGAAAATTTTAGTTGGTGAACCAAAATGATACTGGAGCAATAGTTAGGGGACCATTGGGATCAATAACCCTTTAGAGGAGGATACTCACCTAAAAATACGGTTTTGTCCCTCGATTTCACGGAATAATACACAGACTTTGACAGATGGACCATCTTGGTACAAAATAAAAAGTTTAAGGACGTTTGAATTGAAAATTTTAGTTGGTGGACCAAAATGATAATGAAGCAATAGTTGGAGGACCATTTAGGTCATTAACCCTAGACCTTTCATATTCGTAACGTAACTGGCAGTTACCGGTGCCAGTTATTTGAAATTTACCATATGTTAAATAATTTAATTTATATGTTAATTTTTTATATACAATATCATGAAATAATGTGTAAAAGAAATTCAAATCCAAAACCTTAACTTTATTAAGTTTGCAATCCACATGTGGAAACTTTTTGCCCATTTGCATATGGAGAACTCAAATATCAGCTCGAGATCGTCCAACAAGAAAAGGCTATAAATATTTGAACACAGGAGAAAAAGTTACCACAAATATGTATTTCAATTGGAACACAGGAGAAAAAGTTACCACAAATATGTATTTCAGTACCATGTAATAATTTTTTCATACTCGCAAAGAATCCTATATATATAGGAACTTTATTAATTTTTTTTTCCTTTTAAAACCTCTCTCATGCTTACTTTAAAATCATGTGATTACAATCTATTAAAATCCTAATTGAATACACCCCCTAAGAAACTTGAATAGAATAACAAACTCAACTCAAACAACAGACATAATAGAGCACACTGTTTGTATAATGGTGAGTGTGAGGAGGATAACAAGCTGCAATGACAGAGATAGCTGCCCAAGGGGTCTTGAAATAATTTTACCTCAAATTTTTCATCATTTTGGTGCCACGTCGAACTACAGTATATATTTGTTCAGGCCTTCACCAGGATCAGGAAACGTGAAGTTTTCAGATGCATAAACCCCAATAAATTTCAAATTTAATTGAATTCAACTCAATAAATGTCACCTTCCTATCCATCTACCCTTATCTTTTTTAGTTGAATTCAATTAATATCACCTTCCTATCTACCCTTATCTTTCCGTCGGGCTATGAGCTGAACGTTGAGGCACCTCGGGAGTCGGACTTGGGTTGTCTGCATAAGACAAAGACTCAATTTTAGTTTTTTTTTTTTTTTTTTTTTTTTTGTCTAAGACCTTCAATTCCTAATTCTTTAGATTTGTATATTTTTTTAAAAGGATTTTTCTTATTGTGAGAGGCGATAACAAACTAAATTCACACACACTAATGAATGTTAGGACTCGAACCCAAAATCTTTTCTAATTCTATAAATTTTAGATCCAGTTCCACATCCCAAAGAGAGAAAACCACAAGTTTGCAAGCAAGTTTGATGCCAGATCCCCTCATTTCCCCTGTTTTCTGGGTATTGTATATGAGACAGTTTGTCCATATTAACACCAAGTATAGGCAGTGGGCTAGAGTTTGGGATGGCCCTTGAGCTTGTGGCACTTTCAATATTAACGGTGGAGGCAGTGGATATAACTTTCTAACAAAATCAACAAAATGCTTAAAAAAATATGTATGAAACCTCACAGAATCTATTCCAAATCAAATAATAAATGGTGAAGATCAAACCAACCCTTAATTGCACTTATATGTACGAGTTTTATTAAAAATAGTCAAAATTTATCACATACTTTCATAAATGTTAATTTTTGTAAAAACTTTCAAATATAGGGAAAAAAACTCACTTGAATAGACCTCAAATACCCTCAAAATTAAAACCAATACACTAAACATACAAACACCTTATTACTTTGCAATAATTACATCCACCATCCCGGATGCCATTAAAATTCTTGTGGTTCCCTCCAAATTCATACAAAACTTTGTTGGTCCTCGATCCATGCCACTTCTTAGAAAATTCTAAAGCAGTTTTGGTTATAACATGAAAAATATTATGTGGAAAATGGTTGTAGCTAGATTTAGCTATATTATTATTATTATTATTGTAGCTTATAATAAAGCAAATTCTCAAACAATAATAAAAGATACTAGAATCCTAGATAGTAGTAGATGTTATCCTCCTTTCCAGATTTCTCATGCCTCCAGTCAAAACTAAAGTTCCATTGAAAGTAAAACACAGTTACACACAATTCTCATACCCAATTTCGAATTACGTCCCATGAAAGATAAGAAACTAAAATCTTCCAGAAAATATTGGAAATGTGCTACAAACATAGCATGAAGATGGAAGCATTATCTCAGACGAATGATTATGAAGTGGAAAAAAACAAAAACAAAAACGAAAAAGGAATTGAGTTAAATTTGCACCTGCTGTGTTTCAAAGGACCAAGTTGGTTTTCCCTTTGGTCTCACAAGAGAAGCTCAATGCAGCTTACTTCGCTCCTCTGGCAGATGAAAATATAATTTTCTCCTAATAATGATGCCAAGCAAGTTCCATATCCCAAAGAGAGAAAACCACAAGTTACCGATTTTTCAAGCAAGTTTGATGCCATTTCCCCTGTTTCCAAGGTATGTATGTACACGAGAAAGTTTGTCCAGTGACCTATATTCATCTCACTTTCTCAACCCTATATTTGTCTAACTTTCTGATCCATGTACTGAGATTATTAGGGAAATATTGTACAAACTGATTATTTTTAAAATTAAATGTGAGAAACTGAACAAAACTTTGATGGGTTACATATTTCAACTCATTTCAGCAGCTTAGATTTTGAAGACCTCGGAAGAGGTTATGCAATGAGCCTAGCTAGTGCACTGTTGATCACTTCAGTGTTTACCGATCTGTAATTTTTCCAGATTGGTTATATTTTCCTTTACATATTCTTAGATTATTCCCAGCTGTAAGTGTTTTACACAGTTGCATTTAGAAAATAATAATAATAATGATAATAATAGTACAGCTCTATTAGCAACAGGGTTACAAACTTCTTCTACAACACCAACACTGAATCTCACTATGTTAAACAAGCACACCTTTATTGAAAACAAAGCTAGCCCTGATCCACTCTTTCACATAGTTGAAAACAAAACAAACACACCCCAAAAAAACAGATAGGGAGAAAATGGCTACGGAGAGACTTACTGCTAATAATTAACCAACAACAGAGATAACAGAGCACACTGTTTGTATGACAGTGAGCATGAGAAGAATAACAGCCGCCAAGAGAGAAATAGCTGCCCAGGGTGTGTTGAAATACCTTTGTCTCAAATTTGCCTTCCATCTGTTCGTGGGCTTCTTGTAGTAGTTGTTAGACTGTCATTGTAGCAACCTTACTGCAAAGGTTGTTAATCATAACAGAAACCTTATTGTTGTCACCTAGCGTGTTTACAACAATTTCATTCTCAACAAGCAACTCTTGTTGAAATATAAATTATTCTCTGGTTTAAATCCTTTTGCAGCACAGGTGTAAGGCTTAGATGCCATCACATTTTATAGGACTCATAGGTTCTAGTTTTATGCCAAGTGTACAGCTCATATTGCTGACACACATTGTATGGTTGAGATCATATTCTCTACCTTGTAAAAGGAATGTTTTCCGTTAGAATGAAGTAAGTGTGAGAGTGTGTGCATTCCAATGATGAGTGTTCAGTGAACAAACTCTCTCTCTCTCAACGTCTCTCGTTTTTCTCTGCTGCATTTCTTCCTATACTTCCTCTACAAGAAAACCTGTACTCTGTCAAAACTTCAACAACTCTACATCCTTTGGGGTGTTTACAAATTTATCCAGGATGAAAACATAATCACTTATGTATTTATCTACGCAATGGAATTGTTCAAAGGCAATGAGATTTCTAAGTGTAAGCCCTGTGTAATCATGTATTTCTATTTTTGGAATTTTCACGGTGTCTTTATTGAACTGTATATCGAATAAGTTCTTGCTTGATCCCACCTGAAACTTAACTCCGGCCTGGTGTAGTTTTGTCACGCTGGGTGTACTCTGGAGCCCTCTATTTTTTTTTTGGTCGAATTGAGTGGCCCTCCAGTTTGTAAATATTGTAGATATAAAGTTCAAATAAAATCTGATAACGGTTTAAACTTTACATGCGATCTAGAAGAAGGATCTGATGAAGGTTTAAACTTTACATTTGACTTACTGTTTAACCAAAGACTAGAAGAAGGAATGTTTTCCGTTAGAATGAAATAAGTGTGAGAGCGTGTGCATTCCAATGATGAGTGCTCAGTGAACAAACTCTCTCTCTCAACGTCTCTGTTTTTTCTCTGCTGCATTTCTTCATATACTTCCTCTACAAGAAAACCTCTACTCTGTCAAACTTCAACATGGTATTAGAGCCAGGTTCTAGATCTGAGTCTGGGCCTCGTGGAATCATAGTAAGCTAGTTGAGGTAACCTCTGTTTCTGGTCTCACATGGCTGGATCTGGAATGGGTGAGCTTCGTGCTCCCATTTGCAATGGAAGCAACTATGATTTCTGGAGAATAAAGATGTGCACAATCTTCAAATCTCACAAGCTATGGGATATGGTTGAAAATGGGTATGATCAACCTGTGAAGAAGGAAGATGGAGAAGCTCTGACTGTAGCTCAAAAGCTTGCAAAGGATGCTAAAGCTTTGGGACTGATCCAAAGTGCAGTTTCTGACGAAATTTTTCCCAGAATTGCATTGAAGGAGTCAGCCAAGGAAGCATGGGAAACTCTACAGCAAGAGTTCAGGGGAGATAAGAAGGTAAGATCTGTTAAACTCCAAGCACTTAGAAGGGATTTTGAATACATTCATATGCAAGAGGATGATTCTTTATCCGGTTATATAACTAAGGTGCTTGAGTTAGTAAATCACATGAAAGCATATGGTGAAGGGATAGCTAATCGAAGGATTGTGCAGAAACTTTTGATTTGTTTGTCTAGGGAATATGATTCCATTATTGAAGTGATTGAAGAAACAAAAGACACTGAAACTATAGGAGTTCAAGAGGTTATAGGCTCCCTGAAATCTCATGAACAACGTCTGCAAAGGCACTTTGAGAAATTGACAGAAAAGGCATTTTCTAGTCTTAAGTGTGAACTCTAAAGAGCATTCAAACACTGCACAAGATGGTAGTTCCAAGTCCAAGAAGAATTGGAAGTCACAAAATAAAAGAAATGGGAAGGGAAATCTGGAAGCTCTTCTAAAAAGGAGAACCAGAATGAAGGAGAAAAAGGACCCTGCAAAATCTGTGATAAATTACATTATGGTGTTTGTTGGTTCAAAGGCAAACCTAAATGCTTTAAGTGTGAAAAGTTTGGTCACTTGGCAAAAGACTGCCATGGCAAGGCACCTCAGGTAGCACATTATGCAAAGCACATGGAGGAAGAAGGAACAATGTTCTATGCATGTCATGCTGCTTCTGTGCTCAAGAACAGTAGTGTATGGTATGTGGACAGTGCTTGTAGCAACCACATGACCTCACATGAATCTCTTCTCATTGATATAGATACAAATGTTATTGCAAAAGTGAAGATGGGAACTGGAGATTTGGTTCAAGTCACTGGTAAAGGCACCTTGGTCATTGATACAAAATTTGGACCATGGCACGTAAAAGAAGTCATGTGATAGGATTTTTAGTACCTGTGCAAATAGGGTTAAAATCACATAAAATACTTGCAAGAATACAAGGCTATTGTAGTATAGATGCTCATGCAAGGTCGTTCTCCTCAAGGACTATTTAGCAATTTATTTAAAAAGAATTTTCAATTAACTACCTAAAACTAAAAGTTGAGAAAGATGATTATGAAATTGTTGATATTAAAAACAAATATTAAACAAAAACAAATACGATTGAAGGAAAGAGTTTTAAATACCAATTTATAAAAGCACTAGGGTTTCACCATCACCTAGCAATCCTATGAATTTTTACCAAATACTTATGATTTGCACATGCCACTTTGAAGGTTAGGTTTTCCTAATTTATATTCTACTTGGAACCTCCAACCTAGAACGTATATCCAACATGCAACCCGTCCGGACGTTCGGATCAAATCTGAACATGAAAGACTCATTATGTTTTGTGAAAACCCTTTGAAAAACCATGCAATCCTTAAGACGTGGTGTTCATCTTAAGTGAAATTACAATCATTAATCACAAGAAGCTAGCATCAATTTCAGGGAACCTTCCGACCAAAATTGCATCCAATTACTTTTCTAAAGATCCTAATGGTGATCAAGCATTAAGACAATTAGATAGTTTAAAACAGTGATTAACAATTCAAAGTATGCATGCACTCAATCATAAGCAATTAAATAAAAATTACATATTCATGCTAAGGTTCAAGGTTTTACCCTAGCAAAAGAGGATTAGTTACACATATTCATAATTGAAATCCAAGAAAATATCATAAGAGGGAAAAGAATGAAAACACCTTAAAGTCGCAAAAGTCCAAAACCCTAGCAATTGCTCTCCACAATGTCACATTCAAAAGTGAAAAAGAAGACCCCAAAAATTGTTGTGAAAACCGACTGAAATACTTCCTAAAACCTAGCTGCCCAATCCCCACAAGGATACTAAGTTAAAATAAAATAATACTAGGATATAAAATCCAAATTGGATTAGGAGAATCAGCCCACAATCTGCCCAGCCACGTTTTGGCCTCAAATCTCCTCCAATCTTGCCCAAGATAGCTTGTTTTAAAGATAAAAATATTCTGAACACTTCTCTAGAAGGCCACGAACCCATTCGAGGTCATATTGGGCTCCAAAATGCAATAAAAGCCCAAAACATCACTATTCCAGCACTGCACATCACTCCTTTATTTATTCACCAGTAAATTATCGTTTGGTGGAAGAATCTGAAATTTCGATAAGATCAAGTTAAGTGACTCACGAACGTCCTCCAATTGGAATTACTCCAAAATTCGTCCATTTGATTATGTTTTGCTCTAGAGGAATTCGAAAGTCCTATATTGAAAATATAATTCAAAGTATCAAAATTCTTCCAAAATATTAACCAAAATATATTAAGAATGAGGTTAAATATATAATATAAAATATACCCATCATCATGCTTGTACCAGGATTGGATGAGAATCTACTATGTGCTGGACAGATGATCGAGCATGGATATTGTTTGGTTTTTGGTGATTCTACAGTGGAGATATATGATGACAAGTCTCTCAAGCATCTGGTTACTAAAGTTCTAATGACAAGAAATAGGTGTTTTCCACTTTCCCTCAAGTATGTGAATGCAGTGGCTATGAAGGCAACAGTTAAAGAGACTACATGGTGTTGGCACAGAAGATGTGGTCATCTAAATCTTCCCAACTTGAGACTGTTACAACAGAAAGAATTGGTGTATGGATTGCTAGAAATTGGTGATTTAGAGAAGGTGTGTCAAGGCTGTGCAGTGGGAAAATCACATAGGGAGGCATTTGGCATAGAAAAAGCTTGGAGAGCAAGCATGCCACTCGAACTCATACACTCAGATGTGTGTGGACCAATGCAATCCACTACCATTGGAGGTAACAAGTACTTCTTAACCTTTATTGATAATTGCACCATAATGTGCTGGGTATATTTCATGCAATTCAAGTATGAGGTATTTGGTATCTTCAAGAAATTCAAAGCTACGGTAGAATTGCAAAGTGGTTATAAGATTAAGAAGCTTAGAAGTGATAGAGGTGGGGAGTACACCTCAACTTATGAAATTTTGTGAGGATGTTGTAATGGAAAGACAGTTAACTGTAGCTTACTCACCTCAACAAAATGGGATAGCTGAGAGAAAAAATAGAACATAAGTGGAAATGAGTAAAGCAATGATGCAAGATAAGAAGTTGCCTTATAAGTTTTGGGGAGAGGCAGTAAACACAGCTGTTTACATTTAAAACTGATGTCCAACTAGAGCTTTAAATGATTCAACTCCATTTGAATCATTTAGTGGGAGAAAGCCTGGAATTAAACATCTAAGGGTATTTGGTTCTGTTTGCTACTGTCATGTACCTAATCAATTGAGGTCCAAGTTGGATGACTCGGCCACTAAATGTGTTTTTGTTGGTTACGGTAAGTGTGAGAAGGGATATAGTGTCTACAACTTACAAACCAACAAGATTGCTGTTTCTAGAAGTGTAATCTTTGATGAAGATTCTCTGTGGGATTGGGAAAATCAGAGTGTGCAGCACATCTCAATTCTTATGAGTCTTGAAGATGGTACAAGGGACACTGCCATGGAGAGTGATTTTTCAGACTCATCTACACAGGAAACTCAGTTTGAGAACTCAAGTTCTTCTAGATCTGAACCAGAGAATGTCACACAGAGTGAAACTCCTGTGAAACTCAGAGACATTGCTGAGATTTATGCAAGATGTAACATGAGTGTTATTGAACCAGAGAATTATGAAGAAGCCTCAAAAGATACTACTTGGAAGAAAGCAATGGAGGCTGAAATGGAGATGATTGAGAAGAATGAAACATGGGAATTGGTTAACAGACTAATGGACAAGCCAATAATTGGTGTCAAATGGGTTTATAAAACCAAATTGAATCTTGATGGTTCAATATAGAAGCACAAAGCTAGGCTGGTTGTCAAGGGCTATGCACAAAAGCCTGGTATTGACTTTAATGAAACCTTTGCTCCTGTGGCCAGATTAGACACCATTAGGACTCTTATTGCATTGGCAGCTCAAAAGGAATGGAAGTTGTACCAATTGGATGTCAAGTCTGCTTTTCTAAATGGAGTTCGTAAGGAAGAAGCGTATGTTGATCAGCCAGATGGGTTTCTAATTGAGCATTCTGAGGACAAAGTGTATAAACTAAAGAAGGCCTTGTATGGTCTTAAATAGGCGCCAAGGGCATGGTATGAGGAAATTAATTCCTATCTCATTGATTGTGGATATGTGAGAAGCACCAGTGAAGCAACTCTTTATTGCAAGACCAAACAAAACTCTGGCACACTCATTGTGTCGAGTTATGTTGATGACATAGTATACATAGGAAGCAGTGGAGAGTTGATGGCATTGTTCAAGTCTGAAATGATGAGAAGGTATGAAATGACTGACTTAGGTCTTTTGTATCATTTCCTTGGTATGGATGTAATTCAAACTGAACAGAGTATTTTCATAAGCCAAAAGAAGTATGCTTTGACTTTGTTGAGCAAGTTTGGTTTGAAATCATGTAAACTTATGAATACTCCTCTTGTAGCAAGTAAGAAATTGTACAAGGATGATGGAAGTGATCCTGTAGACGAGAACGAATACAGACAAATAATGGGTACTTTGTTGTACTTGACAGCTACAAGAACTGACATAATGTTTGTAGCTAGTCTATTAGCCAGGTTCATGCATTGTCCAACCAAGAAACACTATGGAACAGCTAAGAGGGTGTTGAGGTATATCCAAGGCACAATCGATTTTGGTATTGAATACCAGAAGGGAAAAGAAGCTGTCTTAGTTGGATATTGTGATAGTGATTGGAGTGGAAGCCAAGATGACATGAGAAGCACCTCTGGCTATGCTTTCTTTTTTGGCAGTGGAGTGTTTTCTTGGGCATCAGTCAAGCAACATAGTGTTGCTCTCGCCACAGCTGAAGTTGAGTATGTTAGTGCATGTGTTTCCCTCTTTTCGGCTGGGGCGGCCGACGAAAAGAACTTTTGGTCCTTCTTTTGAATGCAGGGCGTGCCACCACCAAGCCCCAAATTTGGGCTTGAATGGAATGTGAATAGATGGATGTGTTGCGCTTCTAACTTCTGACCAAACGATTGATCGGCCAAACAAGGAACTTCCTTTTGGCCTAGATTCTTTCACTTCCTTGGGCTCGAGGATGGTTAGGTTTCGTACGGATGTATTTTGTGGTTTTTATGATTTTAAGTAAAAATAATGCAATTAAACTAAATATGCATAGAAACGTAAAGACAAGAATAGAAATGCGATAAAATAAATCAAAGCGTTAAATAAAGCAAGAACGAGATAAAAGCGATAAGAACGATAAGAACAAAAAAATGAAATAAACTTGAAATTAAGCTTAATTGAAGTGTGATAACAATGAAAATTAAAGCAATATAAATAAGCTTGAATTTAAACGACAAGAAATATAAACTTAACAGGAATTTAAATGACAAGAAAAATGTAAACTTACACTAGAAATATGAAGAACTCACTACACTAGGTGCTTGAAAAATAAAATCCTAAGTCTAAGAAAAGAAAAGTGCGAGACGAAAGATAAGTTTGTTTGTCTGATGTTGTTTGTCTGATGTCTTCATTGAGCAAGGTTTATATAGGGCACTCGTCAGCCCATGGGCTAGCCATTGAATGGCCAAAGGTCAACTCTTTTAAAACTTCTTTCCTTCCAAGGCCCCCCTAAATCCGTTGGATTGCTTTGAGATATTCTAACATGCTTGATTCTTTCTTTTTTTGGAACACTCGGAGTTACTATAAGAAATCCCTTGATTTCTTTCCTTGTGAGGCCTCATCACGTGCACACAATCCTCCGAAAATATGGGCTTGAATCGTTGGCTTAAACTTGGACATCCAATTTCTCTTATATTGCCATCCATATAATATGTATTAGACTTCATATTATTCAATATATATATATATTACATCAATATGAGAATAAACATTCGGCCGCCCACTTTGCAAAACTTCCTTAGGCACCAGCTTTATTCGTTCGCCCTTCAATTCCATTTGCCCATATATATATATATATATATATATATATAATAGGGCAATGATAGCCCAGCCATCAGCCGCACTCATTTGACTTCCTTTGCCCATATACACATATATTAATACATATATATGTTTGATTCCATCCATAGTATTATATTATACATATATAATTAGTCAATCAAAACACTTTCAGCCCTAATTTTCCAAAACAAATACCCCAGCCGCATTTAACAAACACAGCAGCCACCATAACTCAACATAGTCGGCTGCATCCTATTTGAGCACCTCCGGCCGCATTCATCCACTCCAAGCCCAACCGTAATTTTCCAGATCTGCCCGCAAACAATCCCGGCCGATATTTCCTGCTCCATTTGAATTGCCCAGCCGCACCTTGTATGGCCCAGCATTTTCCGGCAATGCCTAGCCATTTCGTAAGCTCAACTCCGCCAACGAACCCCAGCCGCACCTTCAGGTCCAGCCTGGCCCATTCTCCAACAAAACCCGGCCGCTATATCTGCCATTGAGAAGCTCGGCCAATTTTCTTGCTTTCAGAAATTGCCCGAGTTAGGTGGATTTCTACCACCCTCAAACATTGCCCCTAGATTTTTTTAGCTCGAAATTGGTGAGGTAAGCAAATCGAAACCCAAGACCTTTCAATTTCTGAAGTTTGAGATTTTTCTTCTTTGCTTGCCTTGCACGTTATTAAATTTTGAATCGAGTAGGAATTTTGGAAGACACCAATTAAATTGGAGGGACTTTTGAACTTCCTATCCGTTAAAAAATCTAGATATTACAAACGTCCAAGTGTTCTCTTTCATTTTCACATAACCATTTCCACCATAGCTATAGGTCTTTAGGAGGTTCTCTCAAAACCCATATCCTCTTCATCTTCACATTCATAATTTCACACACCAAATCCACCCGAATCAATGTCAAACTTGAAATTTGCAAGTTTCTAGGTACGTTGCACTAATTCTTGGTTGATTTTGGTATGATTTTGATGCATTTGTAGCTTTGGAAAGTGTAGACTTGAAACTTTGAATATATGAATAGTGTCATGGTGTTCTTCGCGTTTTTGATTCGAATCTCACTTTTCCACTATATTTTCCTTTGATTCGATTTTACTTCATGTTTGTAGGATGGAATCTATTCCAAGTGATAGTGCCCAATTTTTTGAAGATATGAAAGTGGCCATGGACAAAGACTTGGGTAAGCAAGTATTTGCCTACTTTCTCAATGCCTTTCCCAACTCCGCCCAATATATTCTTGGCCCATTTTTCTCCGCCTATCCGGAATAGGTGACAAAGGTGTGGGTGACGTAGCCGAGAAATGGCCCAACTTATTTTTCAGACTTCACATGGGCAACCGTTTGGGAGAGCTCCAAGCCATTCAAAGGTTGGCCGACGGGAACCCCCCTCAAAATAGATCCCGCCGTGACCAAAGAGGCCCCACCAAAGAAAGCATCAAGCTCGGCGGGATGGCAAGTTTGATGGGTATCATTGGTTCAAGGCATTGGAACCAAAATTGAGGGGCAATTGGAAGAAAATTGGCATTTATGATACATTGCTCCTATGTGTGGGAAGCCCATTTCCTTGCGACCGATATCTCATCATTGCGGCCCTATGCTTTTGGTCTTCCTCCACCAATTGCATGAGGCTTCGTTTTGGGATGATGATGCCCAACTTGCTAGACTTGGCTGCTATTGCTGGCCTTCGCCCTCATGGAGATGATTTCTCGGCCGCCAACCTTCTGGAAGCCAAGGTGGGTTTAGATTTTCACAAGTCAAACAAGACCTTGGGAAGTTGGGTGAAGATGTATCTTGGCCATGGTGGAGATCCCACCGACCCTCCTTCCATCAATGACGTATCCTATACTGAGCATGTGGCTTTTCTTGTGATATGGTTGTGCAAGTTCTTGGCATGCCCAAAATCCGATGGGATTACTAAGGAATTTCAAGCCTTGGCGGAGGTACTTGCGGATGGCCATCAAGTGGCCATGGGCCCAATCTTTCTTGCCTATCTTTATAAAGGGCTCCACGAGGTAATCACTAAACCCATGGATTATCATGCTTCTGGCCCTATATGAATTTTTCAATTGTGGCTCCAGCTATATTTTCCGGAATTAAGTCCCACTACCATTTGCCCAAACAATAAAGCACTTCTGGGTCTGCCCTTGCTCAACACCCCATGCCGGAAGCATTATGTTGAGGATTGCTTCCGATTTTTCCATGAGTGCCAGGAGAGGACTAGGGAGCATCTCTCCATTTTCCTAGATCACCGTTTCCCGAATTATCTAGCCCTGGATCTTTCCTCATATCCTACGGAAGAGATGAAAGAAGAGAGACATAATATGTGGGCAAGTATCCTCATCAGCGAGATCTTCTTTACGGACTAATGGTGAACAAAGGTAGCAACTATCATTGCAGTGGTGAGCTTTATTATCCCGCCGCCGCCGGCTACCAGCTTGGTTTTATACAGAGCATCCCGATACCACCCATGGATTCTGTCAACTTGCTTTCCTCTTAGCGGGTGGAATTTAAAGATGCAAAAGAAGTCACCACCTTGACGAATTTCAACCAAGACTTGGTGAAATCCTTCAGTATTCCGATTAGAGATCCTCGGTTTGGTGACTCTAACATTTTTATCCACTGATGGAAAGAGATGTCGGCTAGTTGGTTTTCTTAACCATGTTCAGAGATTGAAGATAGGGTCTTCAGGCATTGCCCATGCTCATTGGCCTTTCAACAAGATAAAGAGAAAAAGAAGGCCCAAGCAAAAGGTAAAATACTTATACTTGTTCCTATTTTAATGTTGACTTCAAATCTCACAGCCGACACCATCGAGAAGGAAAATCCTCCCACCGACATTATTGAGAGAGAGAGCTCGGCCAAATCTGCCGATGCAAATTCTGGGCAGGACGAGAAAAGGCCCAACGCCCCCATCCAAGGTAAGCTATCCTCCATGATTATTTTTTGCCATTTTAAATATTTGCACTTCCAGCTTTCTTAATTCTTGATGGGCACATCTAAAAGCTTAAAACTCCAACTTTTAAGGAGATAGCCCCGCCGGAAATATTATGCCATCACAAACATTCCTTCGGCCCAGAAAAGTTCCGCCAAATACCTTTCACCTCAAGGTTTGGCCGTGCACCCTTTATTTATTTATTTTATTGTATAAATAAACATCCCTCTTCTTATCATTCGATTGGGGCTATGCAATTGGCCACCACTTCATTCGCCGCTCCGGTAAGCTTATGTCTCTACATTCTTTCATTTACTAATTTTGAAGGGCCAAAACTCACCCTTATGCCCAAAAATGTAGGAAACTCAACCTTCCGTACTTGAGAAAGAAATTGGGGTGCAAATCATGACTTCGGTGGGCGATGATGAGGTAAACTCATCTCCTTAGCCATTTGAAATTTCTCTTACTTCTTTTATGCTTACTAAATTTCCGAACTTAGTTGGCCGAGATCAATACCACAGAGCACCCGGAGAGACTTCCCACATGTTCCAAATTCTCAAGTTCATTGAAATTTCATACTTTTGAAATTTCTTTTACACTTGCCCCCAATTCCTTATTTTCAATGTTGAACATGTTAGCGGGCCATTTTTTGCCTCGAACTTTCTTAAGCTGACACCACGGCCATTGAGGCTGAATTTCAGCCCCTTTTTGTCATAAGCTCGGACCCTCCTTCAACTTGCCCTCTCAAGACGCCTCGAAGTGGCCCAACTTTTCAGGTGATCTCACTCTCCCTTAATGTTTTTTCAAAGCTTTATGTTTGTTAGAGAGCTCACATCCTCCTTTTTTAGGCGGATGTGGTGGAGTCTACCGTCATTATGGTCAACCATGCGATCGTCACCAGTGGTGCGCCTTCCACTATTCCCACTGACGGAAGTGCACCACATGAGCCCGTCCTTATGTTGACCTCGGGAGCTCCTGCCTTGGTGGTCAATGCTACTCCGTCTAAACTCCAACTTGAGGTAAGCCCCGAACGTTCTTGTTTATTTCAAATGAATGGGCCGTTATTATAATCCTTACACCTTCTTGCTAGATTGGAGAGTCTTCATCCTTTGTTCCCGTCGAGATTACCATGACTCCGTCGGCGGAGGATGGAAGGAGCTTGGCCATGGTCCTTCATGAAGAGGCCCTTCTGCCATCCCCTAATCAGGTACGAACCAAGAAAAATATACATATGCACATATGTAATTTATTTTCTCTACTTGAAAGGAAAAATATAATGCCCATTTTTCTTCCAGCCATCTGGTGACATTTTTGACTTTCTAGATCAGTGGGATGCATTTATATCTTCGGTGGAGGCTTTCACTCGCCTTGCCACTTCTTCCACCACGACCGGGACCCTACCAGATTCCGGGGCTGAGGCCTTACTTCGGTCATACAGAGATGGAGATCTCATGTCCTTGGAGGACAAAGATGAGAGAAACAAGCTCAAGACCGCCATCGAGAGTTTGGCGAGTTATGGCTTTTTCCCTGATCCACGCTCGGCGGCTATGATCACTTATCTCTTTGGTCAAGTGCAGAAGTTTGCCCCCCGCCGCCATCCTTTTCTGGAGGAGCAAAGGATGGGCCCAGACCTGGAGTAGCAGATTACCTCATGTAGTGCCACCATGAGGAAAGAGATCGAGATTGCCCGCCAGATGCAATAAGAGGCTGTGGATATCGATGAGCAGGTGAGGCAGCTTTAAGAGAGGAAGGCTGGCATTGTTGCCAAAGTCTCCGAGATTTTCCGGAGCAATAGGCCTCTTGAGGCTCAACTTCGACAGGATGCAACGGCGGTGGGAGAGTATCAAGAGAAGAAGTTGATGATTCAGTCTACCTTGTCTGCAGGAGATACCACGATGGAGAGCTTTAGGACTGCCCTTCGCACCCTTTTCCCTGATGCTTAGGTTCATACTTGGCCATTGGTTGACCCATTTTGTACTTAGTTAGTTTCCTTTTATTTGGTCACCATATGTGGTAGAACTAGCTTAGTTTCTAAACCTTTGGTGGATACTTAGGCCATTACTTGGCCCCATTTTGTAGTAGACTTTTGCCCACTTATATATATATATATATATATGATATCTTTTGGAAGAGATCCTTTTATGATGCTTATTCTTCCAATAAAAATCATTGCTTCATTACAAAATATTTCTTTTCAAAAATCGACCATTAATTGACGAATCATGAACCCGACCATTTTGGTCACTTAACTTGTAAGCCCTCCTTCCCCTAAACTTGGTGGACGAGAAATGGGCCTTCCCAAGTTGGAGACCACTTGCCAAATTTTGAATCCTTTTATCCCACTGGAAGAATGGTCTTCCATACTAAATCTTCGACCCCAAAACTTGGTTCTCTTGTTGTATGCTCGAGCCACGGCCTCTTTTTGGGCCTTCAATCTATCTAAAGCGCCCAATCTGACCTCGTCGAGGTCGTCTAAATCTTGTGCCATGGCTTGCTCATATTCGTCCTTACTATATTCGGCATGGCAAACTACCCTTAGGGACTTAACCGAAATCTCAAGTGGCAAGACGACATCATGGTTGTAGGTGGGGGCAAATGGCGTTGTTCGCGTTGGCAGATCTCTTCGAGGTTCTATACGCCCATAAAGAGTTGGAAAGAAGAGAGTGCCATTCCTTGAGATTCTTATCGATCATTTTCTCCAAAATCCCTTTTATCACCTTATTACTAGCCTCCGCTTGGCCATTTGATTGGGGATTGTATGGGGTGGATTGAACCATCCTAATTCCCTAATTCCTCGCGGCGGCTTAAACAGCCTCGTCCATGAAAATTGTTCCTCGGTCAGTCATGGTGGACTCAGGCAAGCCAAATCGGTGGATGATATTCTTCTCAATGAATTCTATCACCTCGACCTCGATAATTTGCTTGAGTGGGACGGCCTCCACCCACTTTGTGAAAAAATCGGTGGCCACTAATATGTACTTATGGCCCTTAGATGGCTTTGGGTGGATTTGGCCAATCACATCCATTGCCCAACCTCTGAAAGGCCAAGCCTTGACAATGAGATTCATTAGTCCGGCCGGGACATGTTGGATTGGTCCTTGCTTTTGGCAGTCTTTGCAACCTTTAGCATAGTCAATGCAATCTTTGAGGATAGTCAGCCAATAATAATCGTGCCTCCTTAAAAACCACCTTATCTTGATGCTAGCTTGATGGGCACCGCATATCCCTTTGTGGACCTCGGTCATTGCTACGAGTTGTTCCTTTTTGCCCAAACGTTTCATGAGCAAGTCATCGGAACCTATGTTGAACAATACTTCATCTCTTATCACATAATATGGGGCCCTTCGCCAAACTTGTTGGTTGTGTGACCCATTTGGAGCTTTCAAATATTGCACAATGTCGTGCCTCCAATCCTCTGGTGCTATGGTTAATACCATAACTTCCATTGGAGTCCCTCTTTCAAAGACGGAGGGGAGAGATCGCTTCTCAACTTTGAAAAGCTCATCAGAGAGCCCCTTGGAGATTTCCACTCAGGATGCTAATTGGCGTTGGCCTGAGTGTTATGTTCTCTTGGTAGGTGGGCGAGTCTCACATGATCAAAATCTTCCATCAATTGACTGGCCAAGGCATGAGATCTGAGAAAAGCTTGGCTAGTCACCTTGTAGTCGCCAGACAATTGTTTTAAGACCAATATTGAATCTCCCATAACTGCCACACTCTTTACCCCAAGCTGTTTCAAAATTTCCAACCCTATGATCAGGGCCTCGTATTCGGCCTGATTGTTGGTACAATCAAAGTCTAATTGAAATGAATAACGAGTTCGGAATCCTTTGGCCGATTCAATGATGACACCTGCCCTGTCCATGTTAGATGTTCGAGACTCGTCATAATAAAGGTGCCATGGGAATAAACTCAATGTGCCTACCTCGAGGAAATCCATCTCCTCTATTTCAAGACAAGGGTGGGTGGCCAAGAAATCGGCCAAAGCTTGCCCTTTAATGGCCTGCTGGGGCACATATCGGAAAGTGAATTCCGCTAATGCCATTGTCCATTTTCCTATCCGCCCTCTAATGATTGGCAGGTGAGCATGTATTTCATCAAATCAGTCTTGGTGATTATATGCACCATGGAGGGCAACATGTAATGCCTTAACTTCATCGTGGTAAAGTATAGCGCCAAGCAAAGTTTCTCAACCGGAGAGTATTACCTCTCGGTGGCCGTTAGAATTCGGTTGAGGTAGTATACCACTTGCTCGTTCTTTGCATAATTGTCTTGGGCTAGTAGACTTCTGATGGAGTTCTCCGTGGCCGAAATATATAATTTCAAGGGTCGGCCCCGCTTTGGTGGAATGAGCACCGGAGGCTTGGCCAAATATTCTTTAATTGCGTCGAATGCCCTTTGGTGAGTCTCTTCCCACCGAAATTTCTCTTCATCTTTGAGTTTTAGCAAAGATGAGAAGGGCTCAACTTTTCCCGCGGAGTTGGCTATGAACCTTCGAAGAAAGTTAATTTGGCCCAACAAACTTTGCACACCTTTCTTGTTTTTTGGAGGGGGCGCGTCAATGATAGCCTTTGCCTTATTTTTATCAACCTCAATCCCCTTTTGGTGCACCAAGAATCCTAAGAAATTTTTGGCGGATACCCCAAAAGCACTTTTTTTTGGGTTCATCTTCAATTGATGCCACCGCATTCTCTCGAAAGCCGACCGAAGGTCATCTAAAGGACTTAGTCTAGACTCCAATTTTATAACCACATCGTCGATATACACTTCTAAGTTTTGTCCAATCATGTCATGAAAAATGGCATTCATTGCCTGTTGATATGTGACCCCGGCATTTTTCAAGCCGAAGGGCATCACCACATACTCAAAAGTTCCAATGGATCCGGGGCACCTGAAGGCTATCTTGTGGACTTCCTCGTCGGCTATAAAAATTTGGTTATAGCCAAAGTGCCCATCCATGAATGACAAAATTTCGTGCTTGGCCGCCCCATCGACTAAGAGGTCGGCCATTAGCATGGGATATTCATATTTGGGAGTTGCAAGATTGAGATTGTGAAAATCAACACATATTCTTATTGCTCCCGTTTTTTTCTTTACATGTACAATATTTGAAAGTCATTCTACATATCTAGCTGGCCTATTTCTTTAACTTGTAACTCTACTTCCACCGACATCCGGCGGGGCGGCTGCTTAAAGGGCTTGAAATCTTCCATCGTTGGTAGGCGATGCTCGACCAAGTCACGACTCAATCCAGGCATCTCGGTGTAATCCCAAGCGAAGCAATCCTTGAACTCTCTCCAAAGCTCTTCCATCTTGGCCCGAAGTTTTGGCTCCATTAGACCACTGATGTAGATCGGTCGATGGTTGTCTTCCTTCCCCAAGTTGATTTCTAACAAAGGGTCTTGGACTTCCGCATTTGAATCATCCATCTTGCTTGTGCCAACTCTACTTCTTCGAGCTCAAGTGCATCATCCTCCGGACCTTCATGAAGAAATTCCACCAAGTTGGTGATGGATCCATGCTCGGTCGCTCTTTTCCCTATCTGCTTGGGCATCATGTGCCCCCAAGTCTATTAACTTTTGGGCCGAGACTCCCGTAGGTCGGCCGTTCCTATCTGACCTAGTAAAATAAAGAGGCCCAATGTCATCTTCATAAAACTTTGCCTCTACCACATTGGCAGAGGCCATGAAGGGCCATGCATCGGCCTGAACAATCTCTACACTTCCATCCTCGTGCCAAAATTGTAAAAATTGATGAAGTGAAGAGGGTATGCGCATGCTTCCATAGATCCAATCTCGGCCCAACAAAGCATTGAAATGGGCCATTGTCTCCACCACAAAGAAGGCAATCATTCTAACGTTTTGCCCCACTCTGACTTGGAGTGGGATAATCCCTTTTGAAGTCGTTTTGTCTCCCACGAACCCACTAACCTTTGTCTCGATCAGAATTAACTCATCTGAGCCTTTCTTTAACTTCCTCATGATTGAGGTTGGTAGGATATTGACCGTAGCCCTCGTATCCACAAGGACTTTTCTCACCGGAACTCCATCGAAATGAGCTCCCACATACAAGGGCTTAAGGTGGGAGGACATTTTCTTGGTGGGCATCTCAAAGCACACCTTATTGGGCACTTTTTCCTCTTTTTTGGGCACCATGATGCAAGGCTGGGCATTCCCTTCCTTTGGAATTTCTTAGGCCATCTCAATTTCTTTGGCCCCTTCCATTTGGACCATGGACTCAACCTCATCGAACACATCTCCGTCCATGAAATTAGGTTGATCTTGCCGAGCTTCGAAAAATAGTGGGAGTGTAACAACCATAGCATTTACCTCGTCAAAGTCGCCAAATTTTACTTTGATCTTGCCCACTTTTAGTTCATTTTCAAACTTGGCCATCTCTTCATTGCGTTCTTTCTCTAAGTGTTCCAAAGCTTCCTCCGACAGATCCTCTAAGTACTCGTCATCAACATACTCCTCATCATCCTTATAGAGCTCTTCGTCTTCAGCCGCTGAACCTTTGAGATTTTCTAATGGCTCTTTAGCTTCTTCCTGGGCCGTGTGCTCGACCTCTTTTTCTACCACATTGGTTTTGCGTCGACCATGACTTGGTCTTCTTCTGCCCTAAGCTCGCTTAATATTTTATGGGGCTCATCCCCAGCTTCTTGGACCATGTTTTGGTCCTTTTCTTCTTTACTCTCAACCTTGGTGGGCTGAGCCATTTTGGTCACGGCCGGGGCCTTGGCTACCGGAGGCTTGACTTTCGGTGGAGCTGCCCTTGCCTTTTCAACCTTAAGAGGTTTATCTCCTTTCTTCTTGGTTGGCTCACTAACTTCCACTTTGGAGTTATTTGCCTCAAAAGCCCCAGTCAAATGGGCCTCCAACTCCGAGATTGGATCTTCTGGGTCGTTACCACGACTCGGCCATTCACCCATTCTCGACATATTTTCATCTCTTCGGCCGCGGCTGCCTCCAAGGAAGTGACAACATCGGCCTTGGCCAACTCTAACTCCTTGAATCGAAGCTTCTCTGGAAGCTCGACCAATCGGTCAAGTTGAGCTTGCCTTTTGTCCGCCTATTCTAACTCCGCCTTGCAAGTGGTACCAGTGGGAGTTTTGGGCTTTGGAGGGTTCTTCCTTGGTCGAAAATTTTGTCTCGAGAACCTTGGTCACCTCAGGATACATTTTGGCCTTGACCCTTGCCTCAGGGTCCGCCGGAATCTCCCTTGCCCTTCTTTCTGCTACAACCTTCGCCGAGCCACCTAAATCCAACCTTGGCCTAGGTTGGTCTGGCCTTGGGAAGTTCGTGTTCACCATGTTGACTTGAGCGTTTGGGAAATGATTTTAGTCGATGCCCATTGTAGCTTTCTCCGGAAATTTCAAGATCTTCTGGTCGATGAGATCCTGCACGGCATTCCGAAAAACCAAACAATTGTTAGTCGTATGAGACCACACATTGTGAAACTTGCAATAAGTTTTATTTCTAAGTTCATTAGTCGACGGAATATCATGATCATTAGATAATTTTATGATATTTTCTTTCAAAAGTTGGTCGAAAATTTGTTCGGCTTTAGAAATATCAAACGTGTAGGACTTTGTCACGACCTCCTTTTGGGAGGTTCCACTAACCTTGGAAACTTGGGCCGTTGTCGGCCTTTGATCCTTGGAGGCTTTAGATAAAGCCTTGCACACATATGGCCCTTTGGCCACAATCTCGGCCAAGTTTACCCCGGCCTACTCTTCTTCTTCCTCAAAGTAAACCTCATCACCTCTTTCTTCCGAGTCTATGTCTTCAATGTCTACCGCGTGGACCGCCGTAGTCCTATACCCGGAAGGTTTGGTTGAATCCTTATAAAATGTCGACCGAGGTACCGACTGCCCTTTTTGTTGCTCCTCCTTTAGAATCGGTCCACTCGAAGTAAGAGATCATAAATGTCACGGAACTCAATTCCTTTGAATTTCTTTCGGAGGTCAAGCAACAAACCTCCTTGGGCCAATTTTGCAAACTCGTGCTCTAGCATATTGACCGTGCACCTAGCCCTTGCTTCTCTAAATCGCCTCAAGTATTCTTAGACCGACTCACTTGGCTTCTGGCTTATCTATGCCAAGTCGGCCATCGAGACTTCCGGCTCCGGTCGATAGAATTGCTCGTGGAAGACTTGCTCCATAACTTGCCAATTCGGGATGGAGTTCTGCGAAAGCTTACATACCATGAGAAAGCTGCACCCGTAAGGGTACTCAGAAATAGCCTTAGTTTCAAGACCTCGCGGTGCCCAATCTCCACGCACTAGGCCGTGAATCGGCCAATGTGTTCAACGGTCGATTGGAGCCCATCTCTCGAAAATAGTGCAAAATCTGGAACCTTGAAATCCCTCGAAAATTGCTCTCGATCAAAGTGCTCTGGATATGGCCTCCGGTAGACCAGTCTACCAATCCTTCTAGCATGGGGCACCATATCTTGAATCATTTGTTCGACCGCACCTCGGTCGACTGCTTGATTTAGCATTCCAGCCGGGATTATTCCAACCATCAACTCTGGCGAATTGGTTATGAGGCCCAGTAAAATTGGCTCTGGCCCCTTGGTGAGCTTGTGGGTGGAATTGATTATATGACAGAAAAACTTGGAATTGGTTGACCGCTGCATATGGATTGTTGCCCAGATAGTGGATCAGGGTGAGGCGGATTCACTCCAAAGGCATTTGGTTGGGCCTCCACTTGAGGCCTGGCTGCTGGTACTCCATTAGGCACGCCTTGGTTCCCATTTTGGCCATTTTGTTGGCCTAACCATCGATCAAACCTCTCATTGATTTGAGCATTTTGAGTGGCCATTGTCTGTGCCATTGTCTCCATGACACGCATGAGTTGTTGGAGTTTCAATGAAGTGGGTAGATTCGGCCTCAAGACTGGTCCCCCGGTGACCTCTGTAATATCTTCGACTAACACTTGGTCGTGGACGACGGCAGTAGCTCGGCCGGGGCCATTTTGCTTTTGTTGAGAGGTCGGAACATTCTGTGGCTGAGTATTCGTAGGGAGTTAACCAACCATGCTTGTCTCTGATTCCGATCGAAGTCTAGATTCTTCAAATTCTTGATCTCTTCTAGGATTCTTCCTAGTGTATATGACCATACAAAACCTAGTGGTCCCACCAGGCGTGCCAAATTATGTTTCCCGCTTTTCGGCCGGGGCAAATGACGGAATGAACTTTTGGTCATTCTTCTTTTGAATGCTGGGTGTGCCACCACCAAGCCCCAAATTTGGGCTTGAATGGAATGTGAATAGATGGATGTGTTGCGCTTCTAACTTCTGACCAAACGATTGATCGGCCAAGCAAGGAACCTTCTCTTGGCCTAGATTCTTTCACTTCCTCGGACTTGAGGATGGTTAGGTTTCGTACGGATGTTTTTTGTGGTTTTTATGATTTTAAGTAAAAATAATGCAATTAAACTAAATATGCATAGAAACGTAAAGACAATAATTGAAATGCGATAAAATAAATCAAATCGTTAAATAAAGAAAGAACGAGATAAAAGCGATAAGAATGATAAGAACGATAGAATGAAATAAACTTGAAATTAAGCTTAATTGAAGTGAGATAACAATGAAAATTAAAGCAATAGAAATAAATTTGAATTTAAACGACAAGAAATATAAACTTAACAGAAATTTAAATGACAAGAAAAATATAAACTTACACTAGAAATATGAAGAACTCACTACACTAGGTGTTTGAAAAATAAAATCCTAAGTCTAAGAAAAGAAAAGTGCGAGACGAAAGATATGTTTGTTTGTCTGATGTCTTCATAGAGCAAGGTTTATATGGGGCACTCGTCAACCCATGGGCTGGCCATTGAATGGCCAAAGGTCAACTCTTTTAAAACTTCTTTTAAAACTTCTTCCCTTCCAAGGCCCCTCTAAATCCGTAGGATTGCATTGAGATATTTTGACATGCTTGATTCTTTCTTGCTTTGGAACACTCAGAGTTACTATAAGAAATCCCTTGATTTCTTTCCTTGTGAGGCCTCGTCACGTGCACACAATCCATATAATATATATTAGACTTCATATTATTCAATATATATATATATTACATCAATATGAGAATAAACATTCGGCCGCCCTTCAATTCCATTTTCCCATTTGCCCATATATGCATATATATATATATATATATAATAGGGCAATGACAGCCCAGCCTTCAGCCGCACTCATTTGACTTCCTTTGCCCATATACACATATATTAATACATATATATATATATGTTTGATTCCAGCCATAGTATTATATTATATTAATATAATTAATATATATATATATATAATAAGTCAATCAAAACCCTTTCAGCCCCAATTTTCCAAAACACTAAATACCCCAGCCGCATTTAACAAACACAGCAGCCACCATAACTCAACATAGTCGGCCGCAATATCTTGAGAGTCGGCTGCATCCTATTTGAGCACCTCCAGCCGCATTCATCCACTCCAAGCCCAGTCGTAATTTTCCGGATCTGCCCGCGAACAATGCCAGCCTATATTTCCTGCTCCATTTGAATTGCCCGGCCGCACCTTGTATGACCCAGCTTTTTCCGGCTATGCCCAGCCATTTCGTAAGCTCAGCTCCGCCAACGAACCCCGGCCGCACCTTCAACTCCAGCCGCCCAATTCTCCAACAAAACCCTGCCGCTATATCTGCCATTGAGAAGCCCGGCCAATTTTCGTGCTTTTAGAAATTGCCCGAGTTAGGTGGATTTCTACCACCCTCAAACAGTAAGTGAAGCTACTACACAGGCTATGTGGTTGAGGTTTGTGCTTGAAGATTTTGGAGAATTGCAGACAAACTCCATTAATGGTAGATAACACCTCTGCCATTGCAATGACAAGGAATCCAGTATTCCATCAAAAGACCAAACACATTAACCGCATATATCATTTCATCTGAGATGATCTACAAGAAGGTGTTATAGATTTGAGGAATTGCAAGTCTGAGGAATAAGTGACTGACGTTTCCACAAAAGCTTTGCCTAAGGATCGGTTCAACTATTTGACAAGTTTGCTAGGAGTTAAACCAGTTACCAATTTAGAAGGGAATGTTGAAATGTAAATTATTCTATGGTTTAAATCCTTTTGCAGCACTGGTGTAAGGCTTAGATGCCATCACATTTTATAGGACTCATAGGTTCTAGTTTTATGCCAAGTGTACAGCTCATATTGCTGACACACATTGTATGGTTGAGATCATATTCTCTACCTTGTAAAAGGAATGTTTTCCTTTAGAATGAAATAAGTGTGAGAGTGTGTGCATTCCAATGATGAGTGCTCAGTGAACAAACTCTCTCTCTCTCAACGTCTCTCGTTTTTCTCTGCTGCATTTCTTCATATACTTCCTCTACAAGAAAACCTCTACTATGTCAAAACTTCAACAACTCTACATCCTTTGGGGTGTTTACAAATTTATCCAGGATGAAAACATAATCACTTATGTATTTATCCACGCAATGGCATTGTTCAAAGGCAATGAGATTTCTAAGTGTAAGCTTTGTATAATCATGTATTTCTATTTTTGGAATTTTCACGGTGTCTTTATTGAACTGTACATCGAATAAGTTCTTGCTTGATCCCACTTGAAACTTAACTCCGGCCTGTTGTAGTTTTGTCACGCTGGGTGTACCCTGGAGCCCTCTATTTTTTCTTTTTTTTTGGGTCGAATTGAGTGGCCCTCCAGTTTGTAAATATTGTAGATATAAAGTTCTAATAAAACCTGACGACGGTTTAAACTTACATGCGATCTAGAAGAAGGATCTGATGAAGGTTTAAACTTTACATTTGACTTACTGTTTAACCAAAGACTTGGTTCTGCTGGCGATATAGAAGAGATATCGGAAGGTTTAAACTTAAAGAAATACTATGTTTGTTATAAAAGAGTATGAAAATACCACTGAATATTGGGGTGGAATTGTATTTGCTCTTGTGGTTATATACTGATAGAACTTTCTCCCTCAGATAAAACTCTTCTAACTCTCTCTCTCTCTTTGGATCGGTGTGTCTTCTTCTTCAGCTGAGGATCCTTTTTATATGGAAAGTTACAAGGGCAAAGTAGTTAATGCTTTGTGGAAGAATTGGAGGTGAAAACATTTCACCCTCCTAAAACACAATTTCACTTACATCAATCTCCTATTGCATGCACAAAAAGTCTTCCTTGTTACATCCATACACACGTTTCACAACAATGTTGAGTTATTGTGGCAATTATTGAACGAAAAGTTGCCTCAAAACTTGACTTTGATCATGTTGATGCCTTTTTTCTTTCTCTACTGTCAATCCTTCTTGAGAGTGGAGTGGGAGAAAGGAGAAGGCCGGTCCAACACCAATATCCCGATTGGATCCTTGGCTCGCGAGAGGACTCATTCAATTTCAGACAAAATTGAAAGTTGGATAAAGTTGAAAACAACGAGCAAATGGGGGCTAGGCCTTAGAACCAAATTTTAGATGCTACAAGGATTCTGGCATTGTGGCCACATTTCCTGCAGATCTTAGCAGACGCTGATTTTGACTACGAGCTAGAGGCTGGATTTTGGTCTGAATCCTCCTTTCATGTCATCTGTAGAAAAGAAATTAGTGAATATTAAATTTATGGATTAACTACACTTTAGTATCTGGAGGTTTAGTGTCAGTATCGAAATGGGCCCCAAGGTTTCAATTAAATCAATTTCATACCCGACATTTCAAAGTATTACCAATTTACATCTGCCGTTACATTGACCATCAAAGTCAGACGTTAAATGCTGACGTGGAAGTCGTGGGACCCACTTCATAATAAATGTTGTTTGGTTATGAAGTGGGTCCCAGGACTTCCACGTCAGCATTTAACGTCTGACTTTGATGGTCAATGTAACGGCAGATGTAAATTGGTAATACTTTGAAATGTCGGGTATGAAATTGATTTAATTGAAACCTTGGGGCCCATTTCGATACTGACACTAAACCTCCAGATACTAAAGTGTAGTTAATCCTAAATTTATTCATCTATTTGATTGAAAATGTTTTCTTTATTTATTTATTTTTATAATGAAATTAGTCAGCGCACTTAATAGGCTAAACTGTGTGTGGGCATCTACACCTTAAAAGTCTTTTATTTTATTTTTATGCCTTTATTTTTGGGGAAATGACCCTCAGTGCCACCCCTTTAATAAGTTTAACTAAAAATACCATCCCTTCCTAATTTTTTTATAACTATCAACTATAAATAGAAAATTATTGTACCCTTATTGCTCTCCTAACACATTTTCTGAAATTGACCTCCCGCTCTCACTCTCTCGTCTCTCAGCTCTAACTCTCTCGTCTCTCCGCTCTAACTCTCTCATCTCTCGTCGCTTCTGTCTTCCTCTCCCAGCGAAATCTGTGCATCGAAGAACAACGCCATCATTCACAGCAAACAGGTACTGTTCATCGGAATTCTTTTACGGCTTAGGGTTTATGGGTTTGTTTGAAATTGGTTGACGGGTTGTTTGAAATGGTTTAGGGTTTGGGGGTTTCTCTGAAATTGGTTTAGTGGGTTTTCTGAAATGGGTATAGGGTTTAGGGGTTTCACTAAAATTGGTTTTGCTTTAACTCTGTTTGCTAACTTAAGGGCTTGCATATTGGATATGGATAAGTTCTCTATGTTTTTCATATTCTCTTGTGATTATTTGGAATTTCAGTTTGGGGATGAATATTCAATGTCTAAACAAAGGGCAAGGAACCATATGTGGTGTAATATGAGTTCTTTAAAAGTTTGCTGTTTTGTGCTTGATCATTGTATGCTTAAAACAAAGTGGGAAATGAGTGAAGATGGGAACATGCCACCAGCAGGTGTGGTTTAGAGAAATGGGGCCATGGATTTTGCTATAAGCTAACTCTTTAAGCTTTTGCTTGTCTTTTTTGTGTATGGATAGTTAGACAACTCTGTTTATGAGGTGAACTTTTAATTTTTGAATTGTACATGTGTAAGAAACATTTTTTACAGTTTTGATGGTTTATTTATTCATTTATCTTTGATATTGATAACACATACAATACATACAAACCTCTGATTTTGTTAAGGAAAAACTGAAGGGATGGTGCCAATTTCATTAATTTCCTTACATTTGAAAGGAGGGCATATTGGAGTCATGATTGTGGTTGCCACTAATTGATAGGATGTTCCATGACATTATACGTTGAAGTCAATAAATTGTTTCCTGATGTCTTGTTGTTGAATTGTTCTGAATTAGGCTTCTGCTACTGCACATTCCTATTGTAGCTTCAGCTGTCATGATTATCTGGTGTTTGGAGATGTGTGTGTAGATATTTAGTTAATTGTCAATGATCATGTAAGGTAAAGACTTAAATCCTTGTGAGACAGAAATTGGAGTGAGAGACAAGTAATTTGAAGGACACATGAAAAACTGAGTGAGAGACAAGTAGTTTAATGGCATTTTTTAGGAAGCCTTGTGAAGAGAAAATATAAAAGAAGGAAGTGGGAAAATATAATGGCACTCTCTCTTTCTCTCTTTGCAGTCAATGTTAGGGTTTGTTGAGGGGGTTCTTGAAGGTGAAAGAGAGGGTTGCTTCGTTAAATGCTCTCTCCCTTCAACAATCTCTCAGTTCCCTCTCTTTTCATGTTTTCAATGGACGTCTTTCTCTTCTTCTCTGCTCTTTCAGGGCCTCAAAAAACCCAAATTCTTGGTTTCGGTTCTGACTTTTTTCACATACTTCCTCCTCATTCTCAATCCTCTCACAGACAGAATTCCAGCTTTTGTTTAGGTGTTTCTGCGATTTCCAATTCGGGTCTGTGTGCAAAACGAGTGATTCTAAGGTAGGTTTTGTATTTGTTATTGACTAGTTTGTCTTTTTGTACGGTTTTCATTTGAAAAGGATAATTTCACTAACCTGTGACTGATTTTGTGAAGTTTAGTAATTAGAGAGATTGCAAATTTCTGTATTTTAACTGTGAATTACTTCATGCTTGGATGAAACTTCTATTGGTCTGATTGATTTTCATGCTATGGATGACGAAGTGCCTCAAGTTGCTATTTGTCATGTAGGATTGGTTCGTTTGTGATGCGTGTTTTCAGTTTCATTTTATGATGCATATTTAGTGTGGGAATTTATTGTGGTTCATGTGCTGTAATTTGTGTTTAATTTTCACTTAATATCCTATAATAGGCCGTTGAATTGTGTATTGCTTGTTATTGTCCAGATTGCAACGGACTGAATTTTTCTTAATAATAATGCCGTGCAGGGAAACATGGTTTCGCCAATTAAGTTGATGATTGGAGAGGAAGAAAAGTTCCAAGGAAAAGCATTGGCGCTATCCCATACAAAGAGTGCAATAAGTACGATAAAAGAGAAATTCAGTGAGCAACAGCTACGAACCTTCGAACAGAGTTGTTTTGGGCATCTCCTACTCATCGAGGACCTGAAGTGGACGTCGCCAATTGTACACGGATTGTTGCTGAGGAAAGCTGATCCGAAGACTGTTTCCCAAGTGAACGGGATCAAATTCATTGTTGGCAATAAGGTGATCCAATTCACACCCCAGCAATTTTGCGTCGTCACAGGGCTAAGGTTTGGAAACCTTCCCTTTATTCCGATTCCCAGTAATGACAACTGCTCATTGAAAAGGAAGTATTTTGGCAACAATAAAACAGTGAGCCTGTTGGAATTAGAAAAAGCCTTCCGCGACTGCGCTGATGCGGATGATGCATTGAAGCTCGGCTTTGTATACTTCGCTGTGTTTGTGCTGTTGGGCAGTGAAAAACATGTCCACATTGACATGCGATATTTGAAGTTGGCGGAAGACCTTGAAGATTTTGGTAAATATCCATGGGGTGCTGTGTCTTATGCGAAGACAAATGCGTCACTGCTGAGGGCACTGTGTGCAGATTACCAGCGAGTGAAAGGGCCGAAAAAAGCTTCGAAAACAAAAAAATCTGAAAAGCAAGTAAAGACAACGGCAACCGGTAGACCAAGAGAGTACCACCTAAAGGGTTTTGCCTTTGCACTTCAGGTGAGCACATTTCGATTCCTGTTGAAGTTAAATATCATTTGTTTACAGTAATGGGTTCTAAAACAGTAATGGGGGAGAGAGAGAGAGAGAGAGAGAGGAGAGAGAGAGAGAGAGAGAGAGAGCTGCATTGGAGGAGCTAAAACATCATTTGTTCATGTTTATTTTCTGTAATTATTACTTATTTGGGGGATTGATTGGTTTAGTTGTTGAAGGATGAAGACGAATAAAAGGAACTCTGTCCACTGTTATTGTTTTTTGACAGATTCTTTTGACTAATGATATTGTGTTTGTGTGTGTGTGTTGATAGATATTTTGTGTGAGAGAGAGAGAGAGAGCGAGAGAGAGAGAGAGAGAGAGAGAGAGAGAGAGCAAATTGGGTGGCTGTTCTGGGCGGCTGTGGTATTTAAAAAAAGAATTCTACAAAGAAATATAATAATTTGCAAAGTTAAAAAATTGATGGGAAAGGGGAGAAACATTCAAGGGAGGGGGTCAGGGGTAGAAGGGAATTCAAGAATAGAAAATGGACAGAAGGTTTTATTTTATTTAATTAGTAATATTATTCTGTTTTTGCTGAATATTATATCATTAATATTGATGATGAGCCCCGTGTTTTTCTATCAACAACCCTAAGTTAACACTAATGACCTCATTATAGAAATAAGTTGTCAGAAAAACAAGTTTACATTTTCACCCCTTTATGTAAGTGGGGGATATTGGATATTAGGAAATAATCTGTTTTTCCTGATTTGTGTTGAATGCTCTTAGACTAATGACTAATGTGGCCCGAACCACTTTTAGCCTCTATGCATCTCTAGATGGCTGTATTTCGTTTAACTTTTGTCAATCATAGGGCAAGGTTTAGACTGCAATTAATACATGCTAATTATTTCTCTTTATTGTATTCTTGGCTTTTCATGCCCTATTTAAGGTTATAGCATGTGATCTCTAAGGCTTTTCTTCCTGAAACCAGATTTGGGCTTATGAGGTATTTCCAGCGTTGGCTGCACTACATTTGGTGGTGCACGAACATAATGCCTACATCCCTCGTATACTACATTGGAGGAGCAACACTTTGCCGCGTTTTTATGAGCTCATGAGCCAAGTCTTCGAAAACCGTGAGGTTAGTTCAGTTTGTAATGATAATCTTAGGCATATGAAAATATAATTTTATAAGTTTACTGATATTTCTATTGTCTGCGTAAATTGCAGGTTGATGTGCAACTTATCCGGCCATCTGTAATTGACAAGCAGCAGGCGTATTGGACTTGGGGTGACAGTGTTGACAACACTGAAGAACTTGTTGAGTTGGTTGGCGATGACGCTGAACAAAAAACCAGCACGTCTGCCTCTGTAGAAGAAAAAGATGAGGACATTGAAGAAACTGCTAGCCTTCCGTCGTCTTCTAAGGCAAGCATTACCTATTTTCCAATATTCCAATATATATGTCATAATACAATAGGAAATGAACTGCTGTTTTGTTCCGATATATTTTGGAAATATTGTAACACTTGCATTATAACTGATTGCAGGGTAAAATGGCGTCCACTGAGTTACGCACTTTGAAGCGTGACTTTGAAAGGATGAAGGATGAATTCGCCAAAGTTGTCAGTTCAAATCGAGCGCTTCACAACAGAGTGCATGAGTTGGAAGAAATGGTACGGAGGGAGTCATCCAAAGTTGAAAGAAATAACAAGTGTGTGGAGGATTTGCGCAACACAGTGGCATCAATGGAGCATTATTTTAAGCTGGAGCTAGAGCAGCTGCGAAAACAAGATGGTGGGGTGAAAGAAGCTGGGGAAGGACATGAGGACCTCGATACTCCTCATATGAATGAAGGAGGTGACAATGAATTGTCGCCATTACATGACAATGTCACTCCGCCCACAAAATCGGCAGCAATGGCAACACAAGTCCCCAGTGATGGAGCCGAACCTTCCGCAGCCATGGTCACTCCAGTTCCTGACTTACAAGTGCATGAAGCAGCTGCGCATGCACAATCCGAGAAGCTGCCTACCCCGGAAGATGTGGCCGGGTGTGACGAAATCTGCCAAAGACTTATGTTTTTGTTAGAAGATTGGAAAATAGCTGACAGAGTGCCATCGGGAGGTCCGATGAATCCTCCAAGTATACCTACAATTAGTATGGCTGCTGATGAAGAAGGTAGTTTGAGTGTTGAAAAAAAAGAAGTGGAAGGTAAAGGCTGTAGACAGAAGCGCCCGGCCCAGACATTATTAAGTCCATTTACTGATCCTTTGAGGAAGAAGAGGACAATGAGTGTGTCGGATGCGACTGCAACCCCGCCATGTTTTGATCCATCAAAACCGCTGCCCATTGAAGATGTGAAGGCAGTAATAGATTTTTGCACTGCCTGGAAAAACGATATCAGGTTCGCATTCTTGACCTTCGAAATCCAATTGTCATCCTATTAATATGCATGTGTATATTTGTCATCAACAAAGTCAGATTTATGAGATGAGTACAAACGTAACCGTTCCAAGTTTGCCTTTTCTAGTGTGCAGGTGCAGCTTGAAGCATTTTCAGTGGGCGCTGATTTTTTCTACAAACTCATCGATGAAACGGCATGGATTAGCTCAAGGGTAAGAATACACAAATCTCTACTTTATTATGATCATTCAATTGTTTTCTCACCTTTTTTAAGTGTACAATTGTCTGAAAATGTGCTGATATTATATGTCAACTGTCAGCACCTGGAAATGGCAACCTTTCTTATCCGGAAACGGCAACTCTCTCATCCGTTGCTATTTGGAACCGACTGGACAACGGCAGATTATGCCTTGCAGGTACACTTTTTACCATGTTACATTCACTGCTTCATTTGCTTTCCCTCGTCATTATGTCATATGGTTTCATTTCAATGTCTGCAGCAATTTCTAGAGCCGTTAAAAGCGACTGGCAAGACACGTGGATCGAAGAAGGCAGCAGCTTCAAACACCAGTGACCTTCCAGCCAACAAGCTGAAGAATGTACATCACTTTGTGCACGGTACGTGGCAACACGGGTATGCCCAAGCTTGGAAAAAAGTCCGCAGAGTGTATTTTCCATATAATCTTCGAGAGTCCCATTGGGTTGCAATCGAAATTGATTTCGTCCGACATACTGCAACTGTGTATGACTCATATGTTGATTATACCAAATCTTCGAAGCTGGTTACACTTCTGCAACCTGTTAGCGATACGCTTGCACGAGTGCTGTACAATATGAAGTTTTATGAAGATTCTGAGGTTGAAGAGGTGAAGCAAAAGGGGCTGCAGATGTCGAGGTTTACGCCTTTCTCAGTTTGCATCATTGGAGGTGTGCCACAACAACGAGATGGGTAAGAATTGTGAATTTAGTTCATTTTTTCAAAATTTTACATAAATGCAGTTGTAATTTCCCAACTTATTGGCCTCACAGTACGTCTTGCGGAATCATGACCGTTCAATTCATCGAGCATCTCAGTGCTGGGCTTTCGGTGCATAAAATTGACCCGTCGAAGATCAAATATTACCGACTGAAGCTTGCAATAGAGGGGTTAAGGGGGGAGGCATATTTATGAGGTAAATGTCTTCATGTGTGTGAATTGACCTCAGTGACGACTTATGACTTGGGAATTCACTTCGCTCATTATTTATGTCAGGAACTCCTTCATATGAAGATGTACACGTGGAAGCTTTGCTGGGCCTACTTTGGCTCGTAATCCTGCCTTTTTGCTAGAGCTAGTTGGTATTGTTAGTATTGTGAGGTGTAATATTGTACAATCTAGAAGCAGTGGCTAATTGCCTTACATGGCACACACACTGTTTCGATTTTGAAGTTTAACTATTTTGGACACCTCCATATGTAAATATAGTTGCTGTTTATGGATGCTTTTGTAGTTGCTATTTATGGATGCTGTTATAGTTGCTGTTAATTCCGCATGCTTTTATAGTTGCTGGTTTTGGATGCTTTTTATAGTTGCTGTTAATGGATGCTTTTATAGTTGCTGGTTTTGGATGCTTTTTATAGTTGCTGTTTATGGATGCTTAAGAATGGTTCATTCTCTGACTTGATCGTAATACTTCAGGTACTGTTTTCATACTTTTTACTCTGCGTTGCTAGTGGAACTCGCACAACATTTGTATTTCGTGTTATTTGTGTATGAGTTTTTAAATTTTGTTATCCATTTGGTCAACTAGGGTTTTTATGAGTTTGTTTATTTATTTAGGAGCTTGTGTCTTGTTGCTGAAAAAATTGATGGATTTGTGTTTAGGAGCTTGTGTTGCTTGCTCATTCATTATGAGCTACAGAACCAACCTGTATTCAGCTTGCATTGGCATAAGAAAACATGAGGGGTATTTGCTTTGAAGTCTGTGATGTGGTTCTTCATGCTGATGCCATCCACAGAGGAGGTGGTCAGGTCATTCCCACTGCTAGGACACTCATCTATGCTTCCCAGCTCACTGCCAAGCCAAGCCTCCTTGAACCTGTATATCTTGTTGAAATCGAAGCTCCAGAGCAGACTGTTAGTGGTATCTACGGTGTTCTTAATCAGAAACGTGGGCACGTGTTTCAGGAAATGCAGAGGCCTGGTACTCCACTGTACAATATGAAGGCATACCTACCCGTCATTGCATGTTTTGGGTTCTCTGGTCAATGAGGGCTTCGACTTCAGGGCAGGCCTTCCCACAATGTGTCTTTGATCATTGGTAGATGATGATGTCTGATCCATTGGAAGCTGGATCCCAGGCTTCAGAACTTGTGACAGATATCCGTAAGAGGAAGGGTTTGAAGGAGCAAATGACCCCACTATCCGAGTTTGAGGAGAAACTTTGAGTAATTTCTTTGATTATATCCAACAATTGGATGACTGAGTTTGTTTGAGACAGTAGTTCCATTGCAGTGCCTATTTTTGGTTTTCAGTTATTTGTTTTTGTTTAATGCTTGTACCAACCCTGTTGTTGTAGTCACCATCCTCTATTTTCTTTGTTACTTTGCTTGTTTTCTTTTGGCTTGTCATATCTGTGTGCAAGATAGCTGCATTTGGCACTATGAACAGACTCGGTGGCAGTTACAAATTAACAGAGGTCTTAATTCTGGAACTCCCATTCATAAACTCTATCTATGTGTGTCATATGTGTGTGCCAGTTGTTTTTGCAGGTCCGTCTCAACCAAGTGTTGATTGCAATATTCTAAAGAAGATGACCATACACTGTTATTTGATGTAGGCATACGTATGAGATGGCTTAGCTTGAATTGGTTTGGTTGTTCCAAGTTGTATGTACACAATCTCAGAGTCAGTACCGAGTTGGTTTACATTTCATGTATTTGTCCGTGGTTTTTTTCCCCCAATATTATGATTATGGAGATGAAGTAAATATTAATGTGGACTTTATAGCATGTTTAGTTTCTTTTATGGCCTTAATTCTGTGAGAGATGCCCTTATAATGTCAAACAAACGGTTTTGACATACATGTTTGAAATAATTGAAATCACACCGTTTATTATTATTATTATTATTATTTTTTGTTTCCTGCTCGGAGAAGAAGCAAAGTGGTTACAAATATGAAAGATTCCGAATCAGTTTTCTTCTGTCAAATTCCGCATGGAGCTAGAGGTCTACGGTACCATCCGATGAGACTTGACAAAAATTTGTATTTTTCTTCTTACATTTGTCATAGATAAGATTAAATGTAACCACTAATGAACTGATCCCTTTATTTGTTATTGTTTATTTATTCCAATTGCGTGTGCATCACATGGAAATCTTAGGATTTCTTTACATCAAACTGCCTCTTAAGAGTCATGAGAAGAAGAAGAGGAAGAAGAGAAAACAGAAGGACCTAGCTGGAGCTTACAAGTAATTAAACTAAAGTTCATTTAGTTAAAGTCAGGGGAAGAAAACATGTTTATGGCACCCTAAACCAGGCAAAACACTGGTGTTGGAAGGAGATGTAAAAGGGTTATTGTGCATTCCATTGGCCAAGCTTGAATGGATTTTCTTTTCTATTGTATTTGACCCTTCTTTTCAAGCATGCCAAAAATCATCCTGGTTTTGTAAGATGTGGTTTGAGCCCAATGAATTTACCGTGGCTCTTGCATTTTTGTACCCAATATTTCAAAGCTGCCTTCTTTTGAAGGACGATTCATTGAGGGAGAGAATTACTTTCCTTTTGAATATGAATCGATGTGCAACTCCAACTATCATTTCAAAAGGAAACATCAATTCATGGTAATATAAGGATGGATAACAATTGTCCTGTCCGTGATATTTGAATTGAGGATTACTTTGAACGAAATGGAGACTGTTATTAGACCAAATGGCATTGACATACGATGTAATAGCAATATTAGGCCAATATACTTCACTGTAGAGGCAATATTAAAGCAATATAAGTACAATACCATAGGGATATGATCACAATATACTTCTCATAGGGTGGCAATATACATACAATATGTATACAATACGAAGGCAATATTAAACATATACATGCAATATGTATACAATACGAAGGCAATATTAAGCAATATACATGCAATATGTCTACAATACCAAGGCAATATTAAGCAATATACACGCAATATAACAGCAATATGAAGTGAATCTACATACAATACACACACATCCAAAAAGTACGACTACATTTGACACATGCAAACCAAATCGCCTCCGAACCTTAACAATCCTATTCCGCGAAGGAAAACCGAAGGCACCAAAAGATCCATGTAATCGGGTGAGATGAACTGCAGCAGCACTTACCCTTACTACAGGTCCATGAAAAGATCAATGTCTTTGGGCTTTCTCCTCGCTGCATGCACGAGGCTATGATGAGCCATTCCCTCAGCACCCATATTCAGCACCTGCCAGACACCAGGTACATCAATTTCACTCCAATTGTAGTCTGGTGAGATGACCGACGCATAATCTCGGAACATTTCGAAGCCGTTGTTGAAACATTCAACCATTTCATGGTTATATTCTTCAGATTTGGTGAATTTATCGACGGCATTTTTCTTTATCTCTTCCAATTTCAACTTCAACGACTCTAACTCTTTGCTCCGACTGTTTGCTTTTAAAGTTTGCTTCACTTCTCCAGCATATGCTTTGTTCAACTTGTTGGCCAAATTTCCCATAACTTGGCCATGAATATCACATTTAGTCTCCCACCAATCTGTTGCCTTAGACAAATATTGGAGGTCGTGCTTGACGGCTGAGATTTTGTCAAGCGGATCACTGCTCTCAGCCTCACTTCCAGATGAAGTGGGATCATGATTGGGAGTCGGAGGTGGAGATGGGAATGGCACATGCCATGGCTGGTCCCCCGGGTAACTGCCATGCTCGTTTGGAGGGCGTACATCCGACATCTTGAACTATTGATGGGGACAATTCACACCTGGCGACTGAATGTTTGCATTTGAGTACGACTCATTACCTTTCTGAGGTTGAAGAAGTTGGCTAAGTTGCAATTATTGATAGGAAGCTTGAGTTATATGTAGGAATTGATATTAAGTACATTCGGTATTAGGTGGTGCATTCAATTGATGGGATTGCAAAGTAGACCATTAACTCGTTGGCTGTAATTCACAGCAGTACAGCATTACATTAACAACAATAAAATGGGCTGACAAACGGAAAAAAGCTAACCTTCATGGGAAATTGGAAAGTGTGGATTTGAACCCAAACTAGGACTATGTAACTAAGCATTTATTGCGAATTTCAGAAAAGAAAATTGGAACATAGCAAAATAGCAAATTAGCAAAAGTGCAAACTTGGAAAATGAGAAATAAGGAAACTTGGAAAATTGGAAATAGAACAAAAGGAAAATTTTACAAATTGGGAATTTGGAAATTTGGAAAATCGGAAATACAAAATACGAAAATACAAAAAAATGGAAGCTTGGAATTTTGGAAAAGTGGAAATAGGAAAAAAGGAAAATTAGAAACAGGAAACTAGGAAATAGGATAAAAGGACACTTGGAAATTTGGAAAAAGCCAAAAAGGACACTTCAAAAATTGGGTCATTGGAAAATAAAGACTCTTGGAAAATTGGAAAATTGGAAATTGAACAAAAGGAAACTTGGAAAATAGGCAAAAGGCAAAAAAGGAAACTCTGAAAACATGAAAATTCGAAAAAAGGAAAATTCGAAAAATCGAAATAGGAAATAGGAAAAAAGGACACTTGGAAAATAGGCAAATTCGCAAATTGGAAAATTGAAAATTGGATAATTGGAAAATTGGACTATTGGATAACTGGATAATTGGAAATTAGGAAATAAGGCAACTTTGAAAATAGCAAAATTGGAAATAGAACAAAAGGAAAGTTAGCAAATTGGAAAATTGGAAATAGGAAAAAAAGGAAACTTAGAAAATAGGGCAATTGGAAAAAAGCAAATTGGATAATTGGACAAAAACTGAAAATTGGATAAATGGAAATAGGAAACAGGGACACGTGGAAAATAGGCAAATTGGAAACGAATTGAAATTGTGGAAATGGGAAATAAAACAATTACCATATTGGACAATTTTATTTACTTTCTCAATTAGGCAAAGTAGGCAACTTATTTTAATTACATAATGGGAAAATAGGAACATTGAAAAGATTGGAAAACTGGAAATAGTATAAAAGGAAACTTGGGAAATTGCAAAATACGAAAATGGGAAATAGGAAAAATAGGCAAAAATAATGAAAAATTGGATGACACATGGAAAATAGGAAAATATGAAAAATGGAAACATGGAAACGAATTGAGATTGCTGAAATGAGAAATAAGACAATAACCATATTGGTCAATTTGAATGAGTTGGTCAATTAGGCAAATAGGCAAATCCCTTATTTGAATTACATAATGGGAAAATTACCAAGTTCGGAACATCCAAAATAGAAATATATTAGAAAAAGTCATACAGTGAAGTGGGTAATAACTCCCGCCCAAGACTATCCCGCCTAAGACTCCCGCCAATCCCTCCCGCCAATCCCTCCAATCCCTCCCGCCAATCCCTCCCGCCAATTACTCCCCCTCATTCCTCCCGCCAATAACTCTGTCATTTACTCCATGCTGAAAAGGCTGCCTATTTATTAATCAACCTAGCTGAATGGAAGGTGAAAACGGCAATCACATTAACTGCAGCCATTACCTTCCCCATCAGCCTCACTTCCATCCCTTTATTTCCAATTAAGTCATACAGCAGCCTACAATAAATATCGAAGACCATGGATCATAACCTCACACCAAACCAAACGCTTTCAATTACTGAAGGAGGGAAGATTGAAACAGAAGGCAAGTCACCCAATTCACTCACTGCAGACTTGGTCCATGGCATGCAGCAATGTCGAGGCAATACAATGTTTTGGAAAAATCTCCATGCAGACATAGTTTCAAAAATTGTGGAGGGCCAAGCTAGATGGGGTGTCATAAAAAACCGCACAATTCGCTCTCGTTATCATGCCCGCATGCATCTCCTACATATAAAGGCAATCAAAGGAAAAATTGAAATTGCCCCTGCCACTGCAATTATGGTATTCAAGGAATCAGAAGAAATGGCCAAGTTGAAGCAACAAGAAGTGGAAAGCGGATTCGAACTATTTCGTAAGTTTGCAAAAATAGTGGATCCGGCAGGAAACTGGGACAACATGACTGTGGCCGGGGTCATGAATTTCATGGGTCGTGGTCGCCGCACTTGAAGAGTATGCAACTTCGAATTTGTCAATAGCAGGGAAATGGAACTATGAGGTCGCCTCTTTTTGTATTATGTAACGATGGGGTGGCCTGTTGTTGTATTATGTTTTTTTTTTTGGTCGAATGTTGTTGTATTATGTAAGTTTGGAAATAGGA